GTGTGTCTCTACGGAGTATCTGTACCTTGGAACCTCTCTCCAGGGTAGGTAGGTAAATGTCTGGGCTATCTTTTTTTATTCTGCGACAGGCTATCCATACTAATCATTATTTGTTTTTACGACTGCTCACAAACCCCATCCCAGGAATCCAAATATCCCGGCTTGCAGAAAAGGAACATAATCGACTTTGTTGGGACTTGGAAAGCAACAACTAAATTCTCTTTCGTTTTGCATTTTGCGCGCCCCCCTCGTTCTCGGAGGAGAGATGAACGAGGTTCTATCACACACACACACACTTCTGCCGTCACCTCTTTTTTTAGGCTGAAGCCTGAGCAAACAGAGTTTACGGTACAGCTTCCTCCCGGGCTTGTCATCACCTGGTGCCCATGAAGAGGAGTCCTTAGGAGTCAGTGCTCCGAACGGGTAGCCATACAAACCCTTCCCCGGCAAGCATCTTCCCTCGTGGACGTTTGACACTACCGTTCGGCCTTTTTCGCCTTACAGGCTTACTTACACACACACGCACACACTCGTTCACTCACTGACACACGCAAACAACAGAAACTACCTATATGTCCTCTCTTATTGGATCTCCATTACCTTATTCATCTCTACGCAGTAGTTCGCACCCGCTAAACACAGGAACTAGGTAGGTTGGACTTATTACGTGCATTTCGCCATGCCCATCAGATTATCCTAACAACGTCCAATCCAGACATTCTTCAAACTTTATTGTGCCTTCGTTGGCAATCTGCATTGCGACTGCAACTTCCGTGGCTCTTGTTGCAGAGGATTACGAGGCCCCCTTTCGTCGTGGTTGAATTATTCCAGCCACATCCCGTTCCCCCTCCTCCCTCTCTCACTCTAGTAAGCTAGTCCCCGTTAGGGGCGTTTACCAAAGCAAACGGGCACGCGATAGTATTTGCGATGGACCCAAAGGCACTTAACAAGCCCTTTTTTTTTTTTTCCTTTTCCGCCGCCACCCCCTCCCTTACCTACACTTGCCATGTTTTCCTCTACTCTACCAAAGGCGAAAAAATAAGCCAATTTGAAATATTGTCCGAGCTATCTTAGTGCCAGCCAAAAAGTATCGTGTTGTCGCTTTCGTTGATGTTTCGTCATACCCATCCGCGATGTGGAGTCTATAAACCGATCTTCCCCCCTCTAAACCACCCCCCAAAAAGGAAGCGCTAGGGTAAGAAGAAGAACCATGGGAAGAGAGGGGGGGGACAGAGAGCCGTTTGAGCCTCCACGTCGGCTCTAGGGGGGTGGTTGCGACGATTCTGCAGGGTTTTTCCTGTTGGCTACCGGATACATGCAGTTCAGAGTAGAGGAATCCACGGGGAGGGTCTGCTCCATGGGACAACATGGGACAACATGGGTCATTGTATGAAGTGTAGTACGGATACACTATTACAGAGTTTCCCAAAGTCTTTTCTTTCTCCGTTCATACGTGCGTTACTGGGAGAAGTACGGAGTAAACAGCGAGAGAATACCTAGATATGGGGAGGGGAGGGGGGCGTACCGGGGGGGTTCTTTCGCGAAAGATACCTTAACCTTGCCATGATTCAATGACTACGCAGTACTTGAACTACATACACAGTAATGGACTTCCCCCTCTCTTTTCTTTGCTGCAAAGTCACACAGTCACAGAGAAAGGAATTCCCCGGCGCGGAATCCCGGGGCAGATCGAACAGAGCTCTGGAACATCCACTCATCTGGGTTATTCTTCTGCTCGCTCCCTGTTCGAATATACCCCTGCCTGCACTAGCCTCGCGATCGACTGCCCGCCAGGGGCCAATGAGCAACCCCGGGGGGCCATGGCCGCATGGGCATGGGGGGATTGGGATTGGGGGGAAGGGGGGAGCATCCGGATTTACATGGTTTAAGAAAGAAAAAAGACAGAAAGAGAATGAGGGAAAGAGAGAGAGAGAGAGAGAGAGAGAGAGAGGTGTGTGGTAGAGAATAATGAGTACTACCTAGGCAGCTAGCGCTTCTGCCCTCACCTTTGCTTTCTAATACTTCTTACCGCGTGGTGATGCCCTGGTATGATGGTATCTAATCCCAAACAAGGAGGATTCGGGGATATAAAAAAACGAAGAAAAAAAAACGGTAAAACAAAACAAGAGAAAAAAAACCAGTCAACCAACCTCCGTCCATCCCTCAGGCCAGGCCCCAGAGGAGCCGCCGCCAGCCGAGCCGTGTCTCCCGTTTGGAGACTCAGAGAGGGCACCTCATGGCTTTCACGGCTTGAGCTGGTTCGGCGTCTGTCTGTCTTGTCTTACCCACGAGTCTACGATACCCACAAAGGAAAGAATGAAAATACAAGTAAAAGAATGGACTTCTTGGTTTTCCCGTAGACCAAAGTACCATCCTCGCACAAACTCCCAATCACTTCTTCATCTTCTTCTTCGTCTTCGCCTTCGCCTTCTTCTTCTACTTACCCCCTCCACCCCTCCCCATAGACAAGAAACCCAAGAGCTAGCTCGACCTAGTCGTGCCAAGCCAAGGAAACATACATACAGACAGACAGGCCAAAAGCAAGAAGGAAACAAGAGACACACCAGGATGCATGTACACGCAACTACCTACGCTCACACACGCAGCCCACGCCCACGGCACACCACGCACGCACACACACACACACACACACAAACGAACGAAGCGTGTATGTACCGTACCTTACGGTCGTTCCCGATGAACAATTCTTCAGCCATCACCATGGGGCCTGGTTCCACCCCACCTTGCTCCCCCCCTCGAACAAAGTAGAGTGATCCCAAGGTATCCATCCACATCCCCCATCGTTCAGATCCTTGTACCCATGCCTATCCTGGCAACCTGGTTCGCGCCACCGTCGTTCATCGCTGAACTGCCACTGATACCTACGCCTCTGGGGGGGTCTCTGCTAGTCCCGCACCAGAATGTGATATGTGCCATGTTCTGCACTGTACCGGTCTACCGGCCTGTTTGGTTTCTTTTGCTGCTTGCTACTTTTCTGCTGGCGGCCTTCCGCCGGTTGCTCGCCGATTTGATTATTATCAGATGGCACTGCCATATTTTCTTCTTGCACTAGTAACCAGAACAGGGACTTGGAACACCCGCTCCCGCCTGGAGCGAAGTCTCCCTCGCTGTGCCGACCTGGTCCTTGCCCGTCTCGACGGCCCAGCTAGCGAGTGCTTTGTCCTTGTCGTGCGATTTCAAAGGAATCTGCCAAACTATAAGTATCGACGATTGCCGCCTGGAGTTCTCTCGCCTTGTCCAGATCACCATCATCGGACATTTTACAGGTTCAAAGGAACATCAGCTTGACGCAGCCAAACTTCAACCTCCATCAACAACACATCGACTTCGAGTCCAACCCCAACCAACCAAACCCCCACCACACCTTTTCGAATCCAAATCCCACGAACCAGAACCACAGTCAACCAACCAAGTTCGCCATCACATCTCGCCAACATGGTCTGCTCAAACCACTGCCAGGTCGACAAGACCGCTTTCCGAAACCAACAGAAGCCATCGTCGTCCTCCAAGAGCGGCTCGAAACAGGTGAGTGTGCATGGCTGCACCCCACGTCCACACAGGGCCCGAACTAACTCTCTTTTCTCAGCACCTTCTCCCAGGCATTCGCTGCCCTACGTGCCATGCCTCAGGTAAAGAGGTGTGGGTACTACCCGGAAAAGAGTGCGGCTACTGCGGCACCCCCTGCGGCTAAGACAGCTCATGTGAGTTCTCCAACTTCTTCCCGCGTCATTGCAAAGATGTGGCGGTGAGGCTGACTCTTGTACAGCGCTGAAATCCCCCGATCAAGAGTCATATAGCTGGGACTGCGATGCGATATTGGGAACCACTAAAACAATTACGATACCCCGGGACAACGGCGAACGGCGACACACAAGGGCTATAGATTGAGGGGTTGTGTGCGAGCAAGAATGAGATGACCAAAGGGGGTTGTGCTTGTTCGAGTACGAGGAATTCTTTTCATCCTCTTTTTTTTCTTCCGTCATTTTTTGGGTTCATTGGAGGGAATGGGAAAAAAGGGGGCAGATCAAAATCGATGGGTGGGCCAATCTGGGTACTGGCCCTGTAATGTTAACGAGCCATGTCTGTCCGATTTTCAGATCGGAATGTACAGTCGGAGGGGTAGAATGGGCGGGAGATGGGTGAGCAGAGGGGTAAGAACAACATGGGCAAACCAACTGGCGCTTGGGCTTGGGCCTGGAGGGGGAGTTTGGAAATGTAATGGTAGCCGCTTTCGGCATACTTGCTTCAATCAGACACCATACAGGTTCTTTATTCGTTTTCGCAACTTGTTTGAACCTTGAGTGTTTCGAATCGGAATTGATGTCAGAGGTATGGATACGGCGACGGGACTCGTGTGGTGTGTACCTTTGTGCAGGTTCCACCCTCGATCTTGGGACCAAGAACGGAGTATTCAGATGCAGGCAGACGACACCTGTATGGACCGGAGCACATCGCATGGCCCCGATCGCGACAGTGCCGGACGGGACGCGGGTTGTGGCTTGCTCGGAGATAACACCGGGGGTGTGGTATTGGCTGGTGCTGAGCCCGTTTTTGCGACGAATGGGCACAGCAATGCCTGTCGTTGCATGGGGGAAAACCCGATCCCCTGATGTGTGTATCGCTCAAGATCGAGGTGGTATCGCAGTTGGAAAGGGGAAAGAGACGATGAGTCGAAAAGCAAAGAGGTACTTTGGCACTGGATATCAAGTGCGGATTAAGGTAGCAGTCTCTCTGAAGAGAGTATCGCGTTGGATGGAAACCTGGCAGGTGATGGCGATTCTAATGACCATATTCAGCATAAGGTTGCGAGCTGCATCTTGTGCAGGCCTTGGAGTGATGACAAGTCGTTTCTGGATTGCGGCGCGGGGCTTCGTAGCTGTGTCTGTAGCTGCGGACCGACGGGCTATAACGGGGATGGGAGGTCGGCGTGGAGGACGGAAACAGCGGTGATGCATGGCGGACCTCGGGCTTGCGTGGGTTCAGGTGGTTGTGTTGCGATCAGGTCCCCTATCAGCCCAATCGGTCCCGATCCCACGGTTCCACTGACACACACAGCTGTAAGGTAGCTTGGAGTTGCCAGCTGGGTCAGACTCGTTACACCAAACGGCGTGCAGGACGCACGAGTGGACGTCCTGCAATACTCGACAGGGAGTCCAGAGGCCTGTCCAAAAGCAGGGCCGGCATCCAGGAAGGTGCATTCCAGCTGAGATCCAGGTCCATGTCCCTAGCTTCGTAGCGTCCCAGCACGTCTTGCTCTCAGGAATGACTTTGGGCGACATGGCAAGAGTCAGAGAGTGTGGGTTGCCGGGTCTCTGACAGATCGTGACGGATCGTGACGGGGTCCTGAGAAGCCGCCTTGCGGGAGATGCCAGTGCCCGGGTTGGCAAGGGAAAGATGAGAATTGTATGGGCGGTCATGTCTCTCATCGTAAGACATGCAAAACCGTCATAAGTGACAGCACGGGTGGTCCTGGCCCAGATGTCATGGATTTGCCGCGCGGTGAGGATTCCCTCCAGGTTGGATAGCGCCAGGCTGTGCGAAGATCGAATCGGTATACTGAATCGCAGCGATGAGTAAAGTAAGGTATTGGTTGGACGCATCATATGACGAGACAGGGTATGTCTGCAAGCGCTGGTGATTTGTTCAGGGGTCGGCAAGCTGAGTTGGACAAGGAAAAGGAGGAAAGGAAGGGTAGCTACTACACCGGTGTGAAGAGACGATGCTTGGCAGTGTTCACCGTTAGTTTCGGAGGGACGTCAAGCTTCAGCACTGTGAAGTTCCATTGCAAAGAGGATGAAGGAGTGGAAAAGTGACAGAAGAAATGGCGGCCAGAGCTGGTGAAAGAAAGGGAAGAAAAAGCAAGGATGGATTGAGGCTACGTTGGGTTGAGAAGTTGAGAATTGACAACTTCCTCGATGGCACCTGCTGTCTGTTGTGTCAACTGCCTGATTGGCTCGCGTCTCGAATGCGCTCCTCCCTCACTTTCCGATCTGAAGCACTGGTCCCCACCTGCCTGCCTCACTCTCAATCGCAACTTCTTCATTCATTCTTCAAGTGAGTTGTGAATTGTGAGCAGGATTCATTCACGTGAGTTGTCGAAACTGGGTGGATACGAAGTACGGAGTACGGGAATCCGCTCCTTCTATCCGTACCTGAGAATCAAATTGCCTGCCAGCGGGCCATGGGGAAATCACGCACGACAGAGAGCCCCGACACAATTTGAAGTCAGAATACCTCAAGGAACAATGACAATTCGCCCTTAGATGTGACCCAGGACCCAGGACCCAGGACCCAGGACCCTGACAAATATCTCATTTACCCCCCCCCCCCCCAAATCACCTTTATTTATGGCAACGGAGTGCATCTCCTCCAGGGTCCTGCTGTATCTTAATCAGATATGCAAACCTTATCGTTCCGGTCCGCAACCGGACACTCTGGACGGGACAGTACCTGTGGATCTATGGGTCCTCTCTGTGATAATCTTAGCACTCACTGTCAAACAGGAGAACCCAAGACTCAAAATGGGTTTCAGTCATGGAAAGTTCTTGACCCGAAGAAAAGCAATAGAGGATAGATGACCAGCAGGAGCAAGTCATCAATCCGGGCCACCAATCTCACGTAAATGTCATCATCATCACTACCGGTCTACTCTTACTAAAGTGTAGCGAGGATGGGAGTCGTCAATAGACCGTTGTGGAGCTAGTACTTGACCTATCCTAGTGCTCAGGATGTCGTCGCTCCCTAAAGGTTGTCATTGCGACTCGTTTTGGTTGAGTTTGTCCCTATCAAAGGAATTGTTTCTTCTTGAATTTGGTCCGCCATGATGACATTTAGTCTTCGATGCCCAGCAATGCAGCAGAGACGTCAATCGGAGCGCTTTCAGTTCCATTATTCTCGGAGAGTCCCAGGTATTTGTTCTCGAATTGTTCCTTATTCCTGTCTCAACCGCCTCGTATTCATGAACAAGGCTTGTCGACCCCACAAGGAAGAAACAGCCATGGGCCGACTCGACACGAAATGGTGTGCAAGGTCCTCAAGTGCAACGAGTTGCAACGAACCGTCAGTCAGATTTAGACTCTCGACAACGTGTGAGCGAATCGAGCATCGACATTACGCTCCCGTCCCGTCTTGTCGTCCTCCAGCCTGACCATCTGCTCCGGTTCCGCAGCCAACCACGGCAAGGCAAAATCCAACGGCTTTGGTCCCCATTGGTGCTGGGTATTCATGTATTTCCCCCCTTCCACTATCCAGGCTGTCTTAGGTTTGGGCCTAAAACCCCGCAAAAAGGTACAGATGAGCGTCGAGATTGGGCAAAGTACCCTTCCATACAAATATGTGCGTGGAGTTACCTTTCCCCGGCCGCCGTGACATGCCAATTACCGTGCCCGCAGTGCGGCCATGCCCGCTCAGTGTTTCTTGCCCTGCCCACCGCGGGCCTTCCCCCAGAATATGAGCTCGACTGCTCCACTTTGCTGCCGTCCTGAGGTAAACTTCCCCGCCACTTCCCGGTGCCCAATTCCCTGATGCCGCTGCCGTCGCAAGACTTGCGCGAAGAGCCTCTGCAGCTCATCATCAATTCTACCTAACTCAATCTAACCTCCGGCCCCATCTACATCTTCCTCCTCCCTCCCGCCCACCGTTCGCGAAACATATCATGAACGGCATCGACATCCTTTGCGATGCCGCCGGCTCTGACATGCTGAACCCCCTCTATTCCCCGCCGGAACTGCCGAAACAATCGGCCCAACCTTTACCCCAACAGCCCGGGAAACGCAAACTGAGCACATCCGACACCTCTCCCTCTTCGACACATGTATGTCATATATGCAAGCGTGTCTACGAGCGGGCCGATCATCTGACGAGACATCTACGCTCTCATGAGAATGCTCGTCCCTACCAGTGCTCCCGCTGTCCCAAGCGATTCAATAGAGCCGACCTCCTCACCCGTCATGAGACAACCCACGACCGAGATAATACAGGCAAGGGTAGAACCTTCATACGGAGGAGCGATCGGGCTGCCGAGGCGTGCCTGAATTGTGCCGCTTCCAAGTCAAAATGCGAGGTAACCCCCCCCCCCCTTTCCTCCGGGAAAAACTATAGTCCTGCCCAAAAGCACCAGTAGGCTGATACACTTGTAGGATGCCAAGCCATGCTCTCGCTGCCGATCCAAGAATTTACCATGCGAAGTCCCCTCGAAGCGCACGCATCCTCACCGGACGTCAATCGATGGCGCCTCCAGCCCTTCCGAGACATCAACACTGCATATGAGCGTCGACATGAACGGCAGCATGGACACAGGTTCCGTTTATACGGCCTCCAAACTGGTCATGATGCCACCAAACCCCGATATGAGCCATGATCTGGACGCGTCCTCTTACATGGACGATGGCTTTTCGAACCCTGTCATGGACATGGTGATGGACGATATTGTCAACTTCAATCCAGTACACACGTACTTCCAGGACATGGACTTTTCCTCATGGGACCTGAACTTTGACGCCATAACCATCCCACAACCTGAGATCAACCAAACCCCCGAGTCCACTACAACCAGCCGGTCAAAATCAAACACAAGAAATGCGTCAAAGGCACACGCGGCCTTCAAACGGTCGCCTTGGCTGTGGGAGCCGGGGCCAAAGGATTACGCGCTGCATCACGCGTCACCGCAGGACAAGGAGCAGCTCATTCTTGACAACGGCACCTTTGCTAATTCCCCCGCTTTCGATAAGCTCATCAATACTCCGGGCACGAAGCTAAAGATGACCTCCCTCTCAAGAGACAGTCTTCTGGCCATGGTGGTAGCTAGCACAGTCTCGAAAGGCGGTCGCACACGTACACCATCTTTCCCTTCTTTGGATCTCCTGAATTACCTCGTGCAAGCCCATTTCATCCACGATGAGCACCAGAGCGACAGTTGGATTCATCTGGCGACGTTTGATGCTGCTGCTGCTATTCCAGAACTACTTGCTGGTATTCTGTCCAGCGGTGCTACATATATTTCCATTCCTGCTGTGTGGCAGTTCGGGTTCTCGCTACATGAAGTGCTCCGGCTTGGGCTGGCAGATTTGGTAAGTCGATAGCCCCTTTGACCATCCGCCTTGCAGCAAATTATCTTGTTAATATTGCCTAGTTCGAAAGCTCAAACTCATTCACGCGAGAACTGGCGGCTCTCCAAGCATTCATGCTCAACCTAGATATTGGCATCTGGAGTGGCTTCAAGCGGAAGATGGAAATTGCGGAGAGCTTCCTGCAGCCCCCGATGACCATGCTCAGACGTGCAGGAAACTTCTCGGCCCCGCCAGACTCTTCGGCTATGATCCCGATGATGACAGACTCCCCCGAGGTCCTGGACTCGAAGTGGCGCAAATTTGCGAAGCGTGAATCCTACAAACGCCTTGTTTTGCATATGTTCTTTCACGATATTCAAACTTCTATCGGGTTCTGCAAAAACCCACTAATGTCTTACACCGAACTCAACTTCAGCCTTCCTGCTTCTCGAGATCTATGGAGAGCACGATCCGCTGAGCAATGGAGGAACGTGTATGTCGCCAAAACAAACGCAGCCCCAGACCGCATCATCCCACGTGTATCAGAAGTGATGCACTGCACTGAAATTCTGGACGAATTCGACCAACTGGTCGATACAGAATTGTGTTACATGGCCTTGCTGCATGGCTACTGGGGTCAAATAGCGGCATATCGTGAAGCCATCAAGTTCTATGCCGATGGTCTCTCGAGCAAGAGGAATGCCACCCACCGCCTGTGGCTCAAAACACAGTATCAGGAGCTCTACCGAGATTTGAACGACTTTTCAACCATGATCCTCACATCAAAGCGGCCCACAGCTCAACTTGCAGTCATGTCAGAGCTTCTCATGATGCTCCTACACGTCTCTCCCGACATCTTGCAGACGTTTGCTGGCAAATCGGGAGAGGACGAGGCCCGTAGGACGTATACCAGCCTGGAAGACAGCTGGGTAAGGACGTCCGAGGCACGTTACGCGATATGGCATGCTGGTCAGATTTTTCACCATGCTCGCCAGCTTCCACCTGCGTCGCTACGTGAATTCAACGCCATCGCCGTGTACTACGCATGTCTCACGCTATGGGCATATGGGTTGCTATCATGTTCGGCATCTAGACATGGTTCCGACCAAGAAATTGGCAACGGCATGAGCACTAGCAGGTCTACGTCGGGATACACGCTGATGGATTCGGACGAAAACCGGGACACCAGAGCTTTTCTCCAGCTTGACCGCGGAGTACCTGGCATCACCATCAACGGAAACCCTGCCGATGGCGTGGAATCGCTTTCAAATCCGAGCGTGGTTCTCTCTATCGCGAGAGACATTTTCCGGAACAATTTCCCTGTGGTTTCGGAGCCTTTACCGCCCTTGGTCGAGAGTTTACGGAGCCTGTTGCATGACCTTGGCTCGGGGGCAGCAGGGCGACCTTCGCGGGCTGGGAGCTCGGATTTGTCATAACTTTCTGCAATGTACTTATCTCGACATTACTGGGCTTGTATATCTTTTGGAATATTGGAAGTTTTCTGGCAACACGGCGGTGTTGCTAAAATAGTGAGTGACGCAAGTTTAACTCGAACGGATGATCAATGGCATGGGATGGTGTTTATGGAGCAGGCATAGCGGTAGCAGCCACATGTATTTCACCGATTGATTATAGTAACCTCATTGTATGTGACGAATGATCTGAGAAACATCCTATGTGCCTCTAGAAAATGTATCTGACTTCATGAGCTCACAAGTGACAGAAGTACTTTCTCTACAGCAACTCGGGGTGTGTCCTTCGCCCAGGCTCACAGGTGATGGTGCGGTAGGCGTCTATTGTGGCCCCGCATTCCACGGCCCCGGGGACGACTTGGGGGCCGGGTGGGGGCACGTGCGTCGTTCCGGGCGGGTTGACGACACTTGAACGGGCACCTCGATGGGCGGAGGAAACGTTTAAGTACGTTGGCTGAGTTTGGTGGCCTGAATGTGGGCGAGTTCCTCGAGTATGGTTCGACCTACTCCGTGGCAAAGATTCCATCGTTTGGCTCGCGGGGTAACTTGTCTTAGCCTATTGTACGTATCAGCTGGCTTCCGGCTGTTATTCAAAGAGAGTAGCGTTGCGAGATATACTACGACGTGGATTGGTGTGACTATATTGACGGATTCGAGGACATTGTTGATTGAATCAACGGCGGCGTGTTCACCTTGTAAAATGACCTTTCGGCTGAATGAGTCTGTCTCATAGCCACGATGCTGGAAGATATGGTTGTCCTGCTTAGAGAGCTTCGTAATCTGCAAGCCCAATCAAGGCATCTGTAGTATTCGGCAGTGAATATTATTTCAAATAAGACTCACTATATCTTCTCTCCTGGTACGGGAAGGTCTGAGTATCCATAAAAAGTGAAGCCGGACGAGTGTCAAGTTTCGTGAATAGCCACATGCTGGAGAGACGGACGGAAGTTTGACATGACACCGCCAACGTGGGAAGGTAGCTACAACGCAGTCCTGATTCCGTAAATAATACATTATGAGGAACAACTTATCATGAACATGGATTGAAAGACGTC